GGCCCCATGTCCAAGAGTTCGTGGGTTCCATCCCAGCCGGCCGAAAACTGTAGTAAATGGTGAGTGATGCACACTAAATCTGTCGAGTCGCAAAGTCCTCCATGTTTCCATAACAAATCAATACCTCTGGGGGTACTGATCCAGGAGTTTCCTTGTCTTCTGGATTGGGTTCAATATTACAAGGCTACGGAGTTGAACATTAGTAGTCGTAAACCCAAAAATTGGGTCAGCTGGTCAACGACGGACACAATATATATATATATATCACTCACCTCTAGTGACCAATAATTTGAAAAATCAATGGTAGAGAACTAGGAGTTAGAAATGTATGATTTGCTGTGTCTGGCTTAAGGAACTTTTCAAAATTTACAAGATCTACAGATAGAAATGCTAAGTAACAAACTATTCAACAAAGCCTTCCAAAATAACCTCTCGTAGCAACTTGCCACAGCTTTCTGCAATTATTTTAAATAGAATAAACTGAGATACTAGTACTTATACTTTTTTTATCAGTCAGGGTTGCCACTCAAATCTGGAAGGAAAAAACATTCCTGTACACATTATACATAATATTTTAAGAGGAAAAACACAATCACTGCACTTCTGTGTGAGCAGTATTGGGCTAATTATATTAGTTATAATTGCTGAAAAAACTGGAACACACACAGCTGAGCATACTTAAATCAAATAATGATACAGTAAATGAAATAGTTTAGTACAGCTGAAATATCATCCTTAAATATTTCACAAATTGCACTTGGAGTGGTCACCATTTTTTTAAAAGACGAAAATTAAAAAAATTCTCAGTATTTTCTGTTACTAAAGCTGGGTGCGTAGTCAGATTTTTCAACAAAAAAATAAGATCCTTTTAAGTACTCAAAAATATTTTTAATCACTTTGCAAAAAAAATCATCATTAGGATCTATGCAGTAATAAAAATTATTATTGAAAAATTATATTTTAAAATTTTTAAATTATTAACATAAAATCGATAAAGTTCAAAAACTTTACATAATCATGATAAAATAACTAGCTTTTGATAAACATTGCAGAGAAAGTTGCGAAAATCATGCAGTTTTTAGTAATTTAGAACAGCAATCGGCACAGCAAAGAAAAAATCTCCTTTCAAGAAGATATAAAATTAAGCACGTTTTACAAACCCCAAATAAAAAAAGCACCTTTAAGGGCTTTTAAAAAACGCAAATCAAAAATAAGCACCTTTTAAAAACGCTACGCACCCTGTAAAGAAAAAAATCGAAATTTCCTGCATTTCAGGAGATTTTTAAATTTCCTGTATTTTCCAATAGAGTGGCAACCCTGTCAGTTAACAATAATGGAGTTTTCGTGAAACTAGCCAATGGCTTGTTGATATAGTAAAGAACAAAAGTTAACTTACTTCTCTTCTGGTTGGATTAAAGTCATTTCATGTTGCATGTCGAGTTTATTAATTTCTTTTTCTGAATAAAAAAAAAGGATAAAAAAATTGATAAAACTATTACATTTAATATAATGCAAATATCTTAATGATTAGATTCCCTTCCAGTTTCACGTTCATTGTTTTTGTCGCCAAAGTGGGCAACCTCAACAAGTTAGCAACCCAAATATTTTCTGCATATGTAGTGCCGTGTAATCAATAAGTGATTTTAACCAATAACTGTTCAAAGCTTACTGAACATACATGGCTAACACACAACACGTGTCCTGACGAGTTTTAAAAGGGGCACACTAAGAACTAACCATCTAAACTTTTTAAAAATGCTTTTCGTCAATAAAAATTAGGTACTTTTTAAATCAGGATTCCCACTTAACTTCAGAAAGAAAAAAATACTTTTCCAGATATGGTATATCAGGTAAACTTGTTATTTTTAATCAGAAAACTTCTTTATTACTCAAGTCAAATATTAAATCTTGTGAACATCATTAAAAGATAAAAACAAGACAGTTCTAAAATTTCAACACACAATAATGTTTAAATTATTTAACTCAATTCTCAACTACTGTTATTGACAATTGTAAGACCGCTTATTTTCCAGGTTTTTATTAAAAAAAAATACATCTTCTCAGATTATTCCTGGATTTCTAGAGTCAAAATTAAAATTCTCCAACAATTCCTCCATGTTTTCCCAGACCAGTAGTTATCAACTTTTTTTGACCCATGGACCTCTTTTTATAGTCAAAACTTGCACACGGACAGAAATTAAAATATATATACATATTTAATGGCGTGAATGAACGAGGTGAGATTTTATGAGCGTATTTATGTCCAGCTCAATGTTTGTGAGTAGCAACCGCAAACACCAATTTCTAGTTGGTTTCTTTCTGACGAATCCTCTGCACTGAATCCACGTTTGACCAAATAGGAAGGCTGGAAAGCTGTCAACAACTTCTTTCTTTACAATAACCCATAATACAGGATATAAAATTGGGGATTTCTTTTTGTTACTAGAATTCATGGTATGGTTGTTCAAACATTGGTCCGAGTTTGTCCAAGTGCAAAAGGGTTCAGCACCCAGTCGGGAATATTTAAGTGAAGAACGTCTTCAAATCTTTGGTTCAGGTCTATATGAAGAGCCGTTGACAGCAAGCAAATCTTCATCTCCATTTTGCAAATTTTGGAAACTGAGAACATTCTCCTCTTCCCAAGTTTTGTTTGTACAGAAAAAGTTTTGTGACAAATGCAGATTTTAATTTTGGTTAAATTGAACTTGTCACCTTGTAGTTTCAAATTAGTTTCGTGGCACAGCTTGTTTTAAGTTGGTCAGAAAGCTTCGGTACCTTTGTACCATTGCCTGAGCACCGTCAGTAGCTACAGAAATGACATTAGTCAAGGGCATAGCTTTTAATTCGGTTAATAATGCTTCACCTTTCGTATCGGTTGCCAAATAACAAATCTGGTCAAAAAAAAATTTCTTTTACAAATCTTACATAAGCTAAAAGTAAAAGCTTTATTTCCTGATTAAGTTGACTTGCCAAGCTGTATAGAAAATTCAGATGTTTTTAAGTACGCATATAAAGAATTTTCTATGCACGGAGCCATCTTTTCAGTCTTTCTTTGTACATCATTATTACTCAGTGGAATTTTTTTACAATGTTGAAAGTTGGTTTGTGAATTACCTCACTTGCAGCTGGTAAAATAAGCTCTTCATCAATAGTGTGAGGCCTTCCGGACTTAGCAATCAATAAAAAATGCTATAAGAAACATACAGTCCATTATCACATTGCTTAGCTGTTGTCCCTGTAAGTTGTTGCAGTGATGTTTTCAAATATTTTGATTTGACTGTTTGAAAAAAAAGTTAAATTCTTTATTTTTTCACTATGGATTTTTATTAAATGTTCCTTAAGTTTGGAAGATTTCCTTGAATCATTTGACATAGTTTTATTACATAGAAGATACATGGGTAAAGTACTATTTCCTGGTGAAGAACTGTATTGTCGGCATATTCAAACTGTTAAAAAAAGCACAAAAGGATTACGAAAATTTGTAAATCAAATTTTTTGTTTGTGACAAACCACTGTTAATAATCATTAACTTTATTTATGGAATGCGGCAGTAAAGCCCTTTTGAGTTATTTGACGCGAGAATAAAATTTCATGTAATTTGTGAATAAAATATTCTCAATAAATTGTTTTCCAACATTAAGGGATATTGAAAAAAGTATATTATTTAAAAAGAGATAAATTTCATTCAAATATACTTATGTAACAAAAGTACACTGTGTGTGTAACAGTACAAAAAATGCAACTAGTACAAAACTTGTTTTTGTCTAAGACTGGGAAAATTTGTTTACACTTCATATCAGCATAACATAGAACTAAATTGATTAGATGTACAACTCTTTTACAGTTTATGTTTATATTGTAGACAAGTTAGACGGCTTTATTGCATTCCTGTATAACTGTCTCGCATCTTGTCATGTTTATTATTAACTTTTAAGTAGCTGGCACCATCTAGAACTATTAAATCATAGGCGTGAGTCAGTGGCTTTTTTTCTTTCGTTTTTGAGGAATTACCGGAGTCCTTCTATTGTTATTATTTCGTTGCTAGCTTGTTGATGGAAATTGAAAGCTTAAATTTATTGAAGTGAATTGATTGAACCATAACTAAGTTTTAATAATATTAAAACGAGTTATACACACCACTGTTACTACAATTCAATGACTAATTCAGTGGAAATAGGTTTTGTCAATATTCATTTACAAAAGGTATAACCAATATACCCACCAATTTTTATATTTTACTCAGGACATAAAAATTGCTACTATTTTATTTATTTTAATTTTCATAATAATAAAATTCGATCACAATTTTATTTTATATTAAACCTTACGCGGACCCCCTGATGTTGTTCAGGGATCCTCGAATCAGTTTGAACTTTCAACGGACCGCTTTGGGAACCACTGCTTTAGAATAAGAATACTTAGATTTAAAGGGGTGGGGGAATTAGCTATTTTTATAAATATATAATAAATATTTGCTTTCCCTTTATTAGTGAGTTGGAAAAGATAGAAGTCATACATATATTTTTTTTTTCTTTAGATAGGAAATTTCTCCAAAAAACATCAACTAATCCTCTTTTAGTATAAAAAGATTATTTGTTTTGAAACTTAAAACACATACTTTTTGAATGGAAAAAACAATTGCAGTTTTACAGATTTTGACATTAATTAAATTATAGTGGGTTAAGATTTTTCCACAGAAAAATTTCACAAATATTTCTAAATTAAAATCTTTTAAACACCTTGAATTAGTACCTCACCAGTCAGAAATTTTAAGATTCAGTGTTGTACCCTATTTCTGCAGTCCAGCTAAAGTAAAAGAAGCACATTCATTTTACAAGGTTAGTTAATATTTCTTTTCTTTTAATTTCTGAAATAAATTTTTATTTAAATTTCTTTTCATAAATCAGTTTTTTAGAAGTTATTTTTCAATTTTTGCTTTGCAGAATCCAATTTGAAATGAAACATAATTCTTTATATGTGTGAGGAAAAAATATGGAAACTTTTTGAGCTAATTTTTTTTATTGGTCACATATTCAAATATGGAATTAGGAAGTGGAAAAAGAAAACATTTTTACATACACACCACTCACACATGAATGATTAGATAAGCCTGAGAAGTTTTAAAAAAAATTACAATAACAAAGTAAGAATTTACAAAAAGAAAATATTGTTGAAAATTAATATTCACACCAACGTAAGATACAGACAGAATGAAAAATGTATAATTAGAAATATATAACATCACAGCAATAAAATATCGGGAACAAATGACTATGATAATTTTGGCTGTCCCAATATAAAGCAATAATGAACTATGCATGTTAAAGTCAACTAATGATTTTTAAAGTTTTTTTTTAAAAAAATTACAATTTTATACAGAAAATTATTCACAACTTATATAATCCCAGCAATTGCACAAAAACAAGGGTAACTGTATAAAATTTGCAATAAAAATGGCAATGTTGGGCACTTATGGCCTAAAATATTTTGTTTTTAATATGTTTAACTAAACCGCATTATTTTCTTCTGAAAACAGGAACTGTTTCAAAAAATAAAGCTGCCAAAAATAATTTCAAATACTGTAGAACACTTTAAATGTAAAGCTATGTAACAATTTAAATTCATATTAAAATACAACACTCTTGGTTACCCTTGTTCTTCAACAGCAATAACTCCTATTCAATCAGCATTATATAAAGAGCAGACAAATTGCTCAACTTTATCAGCCAAAGATAACAGAATTTGGCTTTTTAAAAAGCATTTTGAGGTTTGGACCTAAACAGTCAAACACACCTCAGTACAAAGGCACTTCCCAAAATTAACAACTTCATAAGTTGCCATATATATTATTTTTTTTTTTTTGGTTAATTCCTAAAGAAAATCAATGTAGGTTTCATTTTTGTTTTAAAACACCCACTTTTGATATTACATCACAGATGCAGCAGCCTGTCTCCCAAGCGGAGAAATGACAAAGGTAAGAAAGACACCGAGGTGAAAAATTCACTTATGACACGACGGGCACTTTCTAAAATGAGTCTGGCACAGGGCCGAGTTGAGAAGTTTTCTACATTGCTGTTTGAATGAGGAAATCTCCAATAGAACTGTTGCTGGCTATGGATGAAGAAGCTTGGCAGGCTTGGAAGTTTTTACGGAAAGAGACTGACGAATCATACTGGTGTGAAAGATGGAGCACACACGCACACTTTCACGCGCTCGCTCTTTCTCTCTTGTCAAACACTAATTGCGCTTGGCTTCTCATTAACGCATTCTTGCGACAGCCATAAGATTAAAACTTTCACACGACAGCACAGAATTATTGGGTTAACTGTACTGTCAACCATATGGAAATCTGAAAACAAACACTCTTTTAATAAACATTTTTAACAAGATTGTATGAAAGCTAATTATTAAAGCGGGCTAGTGATCTATCAGATTATTTTTATCTTCTAATATATACATAGGCTTCACTTGACTTAGGAAGTAATTAAAATTGGGGTAATGTTAATTTCTCTAATAACTGGGGTAATGTTAACTAATCAGTTGTTACTTGACTCTGGAGTACTGATTAGATTGATGGAACCAGTTCTCATAACCACCTATTAAGATCTTACAAGCTAATTTTTTCTTAAATCTACCTTTTAACTATAATTTAATTAACATATAACTCATACTTCTTATAAATTGCTTTTAATGTTGTTTTTTTTTATAATAACATGCAATGTTACATTAAAACATTAGATTATGAGTGCCATAATAATCTGATCTTAACCCTTTCACGCTTACGGAACAATTAATGAATAAAACAATTAATGAATTTTCTTTAATTCCCTTTTTGGTATAAGAGATATTTTGTTTTCTCGTCATTTAGCATGACAATTCAAGATTTCTTTCAAATCTATTTACTAATTTTTTCAAAGAAATTTCCATAAAAAGTTTAGGTTGATAACAAATAAAACTGAAACTCAAATTTTGTCCCTTCTATTAAACAGAAGAGCAAAAAAGGCGTTAAAGGGTCAAAATAAATAACTAAAAATTAAGTCACTGGTCTGCAATCAGATTTTTTTTCTGAGTAGATTATAATTAGAATGTAGTAAAAATCAACATTTACAAAACACTTACCACGATGATGCAGCATTTTTCAATTTTCTTATTTCTTTAGAGGCCCATGTTGCTAATGTTTTTGTTTTACTAGTTTTTGAGCGTCTGCCTTTAGTTAATAGTTCACTTATAACTTCATTATCTACATCTCTTAACATTATCTGTCCAAATGCCAAGCACAAATCACTAGAACATAGAAATAAAAATTTAGAAAACAATTTTTAACACATCAATTCATAACTGTCAACTTCTCAAAAGTAAAAATAGAAACACAAAGCATAAGTCAATCAGGGAGTAATTATGATTAAGTGAATAAACAAAATATCAAGTTATAAACCATACATGTTTTACATTTAACAAAATTTTTTTGAGCTAACAGTTTCAATTAAATTACTTACTAATGAAAATATCACACCTTTATAGTAACTAATTCAAGAAAAAACTTACTTCTTAGAAGAACTGTAATATTGCTCAATTTTCTTTATTTTAAAATATTGTTAATATGAATCGCGATATTGCATGACCTTCTAGTTTTCAAACCCGCCTGGGTCGAAAGATAATCGGCATAAAGAGAAGAAAAAAATTTGACTTTGAAAAGAAAGCTGAACTTTTACAACACAGTCACTGGGAGGAAGGGGAATTGTTCTATATAATACTGTGATATTGCTGAGATATATAAAAGCAACTTTTAACTCTGCTGGGAGATTTTTATTTAATATTTAAAGTGGCAGAAGCATTTAGACAGTGAAATTTAAATCTTTCTTAAATATAATTTCAAAATTTTGACCATCACTATATTAAAGAAAATTAAGCAATTAAAGAAAGCCGTGACAGTCAATTACTTACTAATTAAGAATATCACATCTTTATAGTAACTAATTCAAGAAACACTTACTTATTTCCAGAATCTTGATATTGGATTTTAAAACCGTGTGAATAGGAATTGCGACATTGGATTTTAAAATTGCGTTAATATGAATCGCGCTGTTGGATTTTAAAATAGTGTGCATATGAATCACGACGTTGGACTTTAAAATCATGGAAAATACAAACTGCGATATAGAAATTTTAAATCAAGTAAATAAGAATAACGATTTTAGCAGATTCCGGCGCAGTCCCTAATATCTGAAATTCCGAAAATCAGTCAAACAAAATAAATTAAGTATCGACGGTCGAAACTGCTTAGAACTCCTTCTGCTCTATAACAGAAATTGTTATCTAGGCAACTGCGTACCTGCCAAAGCTCCACCCATTTTCTCAGGAGGCTACTGCTGAGAGGGAAAAGTTTGCCCCCAAGTCCGACCATCATTCGGGCGGCTTGGGGTTTCTCCAATTTGACACCCCAAAAATTTAAGTTTTGGAAATTTTGAAAATTAAGAAAGAGGGTAGAAAAAATTAAATTTCTGTTTTTTGGAGGTCATTGATTCCTGTACTATAAACATAAAAAATGACATTTTTAAAGATATGAAACCTACCCTATAAGACCAGCACTAGCAGCTATTGTTCCATCAGAATGGTCTGGATCTTGTGCTATATGGGTAATAAATTGCATAATATATGGAACATGAGGTTGCATTAAGTTCACTTCACCTGAAACCACAGAATAAATAATCAAATATGTGTAAGGAAATAATTTATGTTTCAAGATAACTGTCAGAAGTATATTTACTTACTGTTAGGTGTAGTTGTATTTTGATCACCTTTCAATCCCTGAATAATACCAGTATAGGCTTCAAGGCACCCTTCACGAAGCTCGTTAACATAATCAATCATATCATAATCATTCTAGAGAAAGAAAAGTAATTATATTCTACCTAGAGTTTTTACATTTCAGATAAGACTATCAATTTTTTTAAAGCAGCTCAACTCTTTATTGCAAAAAAAAGAAGCTAACACCATACCTTTAATATTTTTCGATCTTTAAATTAGATTTTCACACACAAAAACTTAATTTCAATGCTTCAAGGACATAACCTTCAATAGTTGATCAGCACAAATGTTTATATTAAGAGACAGAATCAGAATAAAATATTTTCAGGAGAGTTTATTTTCCTAACTAACAATCAGGGACCAGGAGTATAATAAAACAGAAATAAAGAGTTAGCATTTACAAAATTTAAATTAGCGCAATTTTAAGGTGTATATGCCTTAACTTTACATAGGTATACAGGGTGCGTAGCCAAATCTGTCAACAAAAAATAAGCACCTTTTAAGTACTTTTTAAGCACTATAAACATTAACAAAATGCAAAATAATTTTCAAAGACTTTATGTGATCATGATAAAATAACTAGTTTTGACAAAACTCTTTCCTTGATTATTAAAAAATTATTGTGAGATTTTTCTGTTCGATTTCAGAGGGTCGAAAATGAAGCTTGAAATTGAGAATATCTTGCAAAAAGCAGCAGAGTTGCACATGACAGTGCAATAATCTCACCGAACCCAGCTGCCTATACGCACACGCGAACTTGCAAGTATTTTATCAAACCTGTAAAATGATTGGAGTTTTCATAAGTTATAGACCAACAGACCACTTATGTACATGGTAAAGGAAAAAAAATCTCATTTTCGAAAGGGGAAAATTAAGCACTTTTTAAAAAGACCCAACAGAAAAAGCACATTTAAAGGCTTTTAAAAAATGAAAATCGAAAATAAGCATCTTTAAGTACTTTTTAAAAACACTACGCAATATGGTATATAACACGCAAAAAATTATGATTGAATTTACCGAAAAATAGGAGGAAAAAAACACATACAGGTATTAAATTAAAATTGTGGAGCCTTAATTCGAATTGAATACTGAATTTGAGTAGTCTTAACCTCCATGAGTGATCTATCTTTCGATAAAAAAAAATTTTTTAATTTCGCACAAAATCTGAAGTACGAACAGTGTAAGCAAAAAGTAAAATTAACGTTAAATGGTTCATTTACAACTGTTCTCCTGACTAAACTATTGGGATCATATTTTCCAGATTGTGACTAACCCTCCTCTTTTTAAGGTCAAAAATTCTAATTGATTGAACTAGTTATTTATTATTAGCAAACCAAAGTTTGATTATCAAAAAAAATAGCTACGAAGTTTTTAACTTAGGATAGGAAAATTTAATAAAATTTATTTATCTTTCTTTAAAGTATTTGCACAACTTTAGCACAATTTGTGGACTGTCAATCAGTTTATGAAATCAATTTTTTGCAATTTTCGAACTGTTGTATTACAGTGGAAAACAAGCAAGAAAACTTTGGATCTTCACGCTCTAGGACTATCTTAATGCTTCGAAGCGGTGACACCAATTATGCTAATAAATGCAGACAATATTTTAAATTACGAAATCAGACACAAATACGTACTTTCTCTGAATAAACATACTAAGAGAAAAATTTTGAATTGTGAAGCATACAAATTTTTTTTTACATTTTAAAGTATCTAATTTTACATGGCCAAACATAAAATTTGAGCCATCAGTTGAATAGTTCTTGAGAAATCAAATTTTATAAAAGTCGTATATTAAAAATTAGCTTTATCAGGAGCTATTCAACCAATTTCACCCAAATTTTGTATTTTGCAGTGTAAAATTATGTAATTTAAAATATTTCATAGCTGGGTGCAAAATTTTTTCAATTCTCTTCATAAGTTCTAGAGATATGGCAAAATATGCAAAGAGTAAAATTAACAATAAGGGGTCTAAACTTTGGATCACTCTCCTGACCAAACTATAGGGATCATATTTTTCAGATTGAAGCTAGCCCCGATATTTTGGGCGTCAAAAATCCATATCTGTAGGGAAAATGTCTATTTATTCAGATAAAGTTTTTGTGCCCAATTTTGTAACTTAAAATATAGTCTTCACTTATTCATAAGCATATTTGAGGTCACCCCTTTGAACCATTAAGATTGTGTTCCAGAACATGAAGATCTGTTCATTAGATCAAAAGTTATTCAGGGTGGCTTTTTTTTTTTTTTTCTGCACACTCTACTACAAACTAAAATGATACTATGATAATTCTTCCATTAAAACTGGATGCCTTATACAAATATATTTTTAAAAAAAGGTGGAACTGCATACCTTCTCGGCTTGAGTTTGTGAGGCTTGTGCCAAGGCTTCTAAAACAATTACTAAATATTTTTGAAAATGTGTTCCAATTGCTAGAGCTACATCTCCAAACACTGATAAGATCTGAGGCTTCACAGAGCGATTCACAGCAGTGTTCTGAAAGGCAAAATAATACAAGTTCAAAAAATGATATTTAGCAAAATATTATGCAGAAGGACTATTGGATACTTCAACTAATACCTTCACCAACTAAACTTTTCAGACAAGCTCATACAATTAAAATTTCTAAAATTGATAAACTATTATAATTAAAGAAAAATATTAACAGCCAAAATATAACAAAAGTATGGTTTACAATATCAATGTAAAATAAATCCAATTAATATTTCTACAGTACTTTAGAAACATTTTACAAGACTCTTAGATATTTTTTTAAATAAAAAAAAAACCACCTTAATTTTTATTCATTCAAAAAAAAAATCTAAACTCAATTACCAAATATCAAAGTTCATTTTATTAATAATTTTTCTAGTGATGCAGTGGCTAAAATGTTTATAAAGTATACTATCTAATATATCGATGCACAACCATTTTTGGGTAGCTTGCCACAAAATCTACAAAACAGTGTTTGGGGCCAATATAAATATAATGCTGCAATTATGAAAATGCAGAAAGAATTAAATTCCGTTTGAAAGTATAGTAGGGAACCGATTATACGTAACGATCGGAACCATCGCTATTCCACATAACTGATTTTTCCGGTTTTCTGAATCGCTACAAAAAGCAGTTTTTTTATTGTTAAANAAATATTTACAAATAATCTTAAAAAGAAGAAAAAACGGTGAAGTAATACACTAATGATTATTTCTAAAATGATGGTAAGGTAAAATCTTTCAAAAAAGAAAGAAAAAGCCTAAAATCTTATGAGGAAAAAAAAAATTTTTTAAAATTGGCAGGAAAATTTATCGAATTTCGTTCCGGTTTTCTGATTTCCGGATAACAGGTTCTGTACTGTAATATGCATGAGTTAAAATAATAGAATCTTTTTTCCTGGTGTAGATAATAAAATTAAATAATGCAAATAAATTTAAACAAACATACTTACTAGATTACAAAGTAAATTATGGTAAATATTTGAATATGAAAAAAGGTAACTTACATGAATTTTAAAGGTAAGCTTTTATTTAAAAATTTCTTTTATTTTAGAGTATTTCCACTAATTAAGTAATTACATTCTACTGCATAACTCACATTCTGTTACTTGCCTAAAGGCTGTGAATTAGATTTAGATCAGTAATTTACTGTTACAAAACACTATAAAAAAATCCTTTAATATCTTTCGGCCTGCTGGCCATTTATTGTGCACCTCTGATTTAATGCAAATACCAGATTTCTTTAGATAATTTTTGATTAGGTAAAGAAAACCTAGTTCAAACAAAAAAATTTTTAATTTATGAAGAATTCTGTTGGCTCTTTCAAAATTGCTACATAGATTGAAATTTCAATGAATTAAACTCTTACCAATAGCAAATCTGAAATTATAACTGTTAAAATTTGTAAATGAGTTTAATAGTAAAATTTAGTTAAATTCCTGTTTTTTTTTGTCACCTTCTATTAATAGATACACTGCCGTTCTTGTGCATCAGTGACAAATATGCTTCATCTTTTAGTGTTGGTTCTTTTTTTCTTTAATTATAAAAAGTACAGCATTATAGGTAAATAAAATGTGTAATGAAATGATAGCTGCTAACTAAAAGTTTTGAATGATTCAAAATTTTATCGTCGAGAAAAAGAATATTGACATTCCCCCTCAGGATTTGACATAAATTTGAGTTTAAACATACATAAAATTGCTACTAATCTCCAAGATTCACAAAATAATTAATTTAAGATAGCAACATTAACAGACATTGCAGATATTTTTTCAGACAATATCATGAGATTTGATATCAAACAAGACTATACCACCGTTCATAGTTTCAGAGAGATAGACATCAGAGGTCTAACCAATTTTTGGTCTAAGCTGACATTATCATTATTTTTTTTAGACAATTTCGTGATGTTTGACACCCAACAGGACCACACCAGCATCAATAGCTCACAAGAAATTGATATCAGGGGTTCATCAAATGTTTGGTTAGAACTAACATTGCAGATACTTTTACCAGACAATTTCATGGGGTTTGATATCAAACAAAACTACGCTTATTTTTTGAAAATAAAATTTTTCATCTCTAGCAGTAATTATTTCATTCAAATTATTAATCCAGAAATTATATTATCAAAAAAATTTTTTAAACGAAAACTAACTAATTCAAACTTGCATACTTACTGATAAATTTTCTAGAAGCATTGTCATAATTTCATCACAGTAAGGGAGAACCTTTATTGATAAGGCTCGGCAAATATCTCCAGTTAATCCTACAGCAGCACTGCAGACCTTTAAAATTAAAAAGAGTAGATAAATGATAAAATGATTTACTTGGATATCCATTTTATGAATTGATAATTCAAAAGAGCATTTCATTAACTGAACATTATATTCCAGGGATACTCCATTTTTGTGATTTTTTATTTATTAGTAATAGCTAAATGACATTCAAATCAAGCAGAAATCCAGTTAATATCATTAACTGTGCATTTAAATTATTTCTATTTAATATGTTATAAAATCTTAATCAAAACATAATCTTGTTAAATGAAGAATCAAATATACATAGTAACATGAAAGCACACAATCCAAAAGAATCTGCAAGCTCATAATATTTTTTGATAGTAGAACAATTTTATTAAATATACAAAAACAGCTATCAATTTAATATTTTTTATTTTATTTATTCTTGACAAAAACCTTAATAAAAAATTAATTAAAGTTTAGAAAAGTTTAAAATAGTGAGATCAGACTTAACGGTTGACATGTTAAAAAATTGTCCAACCACTACTTAGGACTTGAAAAGAAAATTGCATAAATAATTAATTTTATTTTTTTAAATATGTATTTTTACCATCAAATTATAAGGATTAAGGGCAAAAAATGGAAATTTGACAGAAACTTTTAGAAGAAAAAATTGAGTAAAACTTCTAATTGCTAACAACCAGAATTGAGTTTAGGCTTGAAAACTTGAGACAGGGCTGATACTCAAATAGAATGCAATTCCCTGACTTTTCCAGATATATTTTTAAAAAAATTCTAATCTTAGTCTGATATTGCAGTATGTACTGTAAATGTGATGGTTAAAATATGCAGTGAAGTATTCTGAAAATTTTCATTTAAATATAAAATTAATGCTACAACTAATAGGAATTAAAACCAGTCAAACTTAAAATATCAATTATACAAAAAATAAGCTTATGAACTTCGAATCTTACAGACATAGAATATATTAAACAGTAAATAAGACAAGAACAAAATATTAAAAACAGCACAATTTTTTTTACTCTAATGTAAAACGAAAAATAAATTAGAGATATAAACATAATTGAGAGTGAAAACAAGACGGCAAAAACATACAGGGAAATAAAAGAACTTGTAAATTATGTAACCATTTTCCAACTATCTTTAAATGCTATGATAAAATAAAATAAATATAAAGGATTTTTTAAAAAAAAAGAAATATATCTCTGCATTTTCGGAAGATATTAGGGGTTGATCCAGGTGCATATAATGGCAGTTTTGCTGCCTTCACAACATTTAAATTCTAAAAATCAGCCCATTCACAAATTTCCCATTTATAAAAACAGCCAATCCATAAAATAATTTGTAAAAACAGCAACTTCATAACATTTCACTTAATAAAAATGATTGTGAATTCTTTTTCACAAACAATTGTTTTGCATACCTGCCAACATTGAAGAAATAAAATAACAGATTTTACTAGCAACCTTTCTTAGGCTACGAGTAAAGTTTTGATACATCAGGCTTGATCTTGTAAGTCAAAAAGAGAAATTCAAAATTGGAAATAATATAAGTAGTACTAACATTTGGCGAAGTAAAAAATATATATATATATAAATCCTAATCTAATTAAGATTTTTTTAAACCATTATTTATAATTACTTTAACTACAAACACTCAACATATTACAGTATTGGCAATAGTACCATCTGTTGAGGAATAAGAGATGAAAAGGTTAAAAAATGATCAGAAAATAATAAGGACTTGAAAAACCATGTGATAAGTACTGAAAATATAATAACTGCCTAAAAAACTACCACCAAAATAATTAAAATTACAATGGAATCAAATACGTCAAAAACGATAACTTAAAATACAAATGTCATAACATCTTAATAAAAACAGCGGAATCAAGGAAAAAATGTAAAATGAGCCGAAAACTTGAAGAATTGCAGATAAACCATCAAATGATGAAGAATCATAAAGGAATCATCACGAATCGAACGTTTCAAAACGTGATGACTTAACGAAACGTGATGACTTAAATTCGAATATTGAAACAACGCATGAAATATAAGGGAAGTAATCGGAAAAATAATGAATGCCAAAACTGAATTTTCTTCATTTAAAAAAAAAAAAACAATTTCCATTTTATCTCAAAAATAAAACCTGGATATTAAAGTTATTGCTTTATAATTTCCAGGTAAAACAGCAATCCCCATGCTTCAGTGAATTCTTAAGAAGTGACCAGTGTAAAGTGTAATTAAACAGTAAATTCATGACAAGTCTACTTTATCAAGCCTAGGTGACAGAGGATTAAACAAATAAATATAAGAAATTATAAAACATTTATCCCAATAAACTTTCAATCAAAAATAGACAATCTAAAGTCTATCCATCCTTTTGTCCGTTCCATATTTTAGCAACCAATTACCCTTTTCCAGTTTAAAGTTATATTTTCTAAAATAATTCAGGAAATTCAGTTGTCTTTAATGTAATACCACCCATATAAACTGTTTTAGTACTTAAAAAAAAAAAGAAAAAAAAAAAAGAATAGATTACATAAACATTTCTAGAGAATTATGCACAGACAAACTTACTTGATATTCAGCAAAGTTTTTCAACCCAAGAGCAAGAAATGGTGTGAAAGCTTCCATATATTTTAAGAACTGTTCTCCCAAAACTGGAATAAAAATAAAGTATTAAATTATACGTTTTTCCACTTAATTATTAGCTATTTCTACATAAATAAGGTAACTACTCATTTACTGAATAATTTATACGGTTGGAGAAGTATTTTTCTATCAAAATATTTCAAAGAAATAAATCAATAGTTTACTATACAACGTTTATTATTCAATATCAAGAATTAAGATACGATATGGCTATATGATACCTTATTTAATTATAAAGGTTAATCTACTTTGTGCTTAAAAATATTTCTGAAAAATTATATTAGACATAATCTCTCATTATTAGTGTTTAAGATTTTTTTCTTAAGCTATTTTTGATTCAGTCAACAGCAAAAATAATAAATGATTTCACTAATATTTTTTCAAAAACTTTTATTTCTATACGTTTATTTTTGCTTTTTGCGAATTTGTCTTAAACAAAAAATGTTTCTTAGTGAAATTAAAATTATCTGACTTAATTTTGATACTTAACTGTGTCAAACTTTTTTAATAGAAAATAATTTACATCACAAAATGTCATTTACTAACGAGCTTACCTGTCACTCCAATAAAACACTTTAGTATTAAATTAATTACAACAATGTATATTCATCTCAACAGAAATTAAGTATAAACATAAAATATAGTTTGCGTATCTTATAGTTTATTTATCTTATCTAAAGAATTCCTTCTGCCACAGTTATCTGCTACCATGAAAACAAAGAAAACATTAAACATCTAATGAGAGGAATTTTTGGCTTTTCCTGTTGACCCTTGACAAATCTAGTTTAAAATGTTCACCTCACACCTTTACTTTAAATGATGCAACCTCATAGTCCCCGACAGATGAATGGCAAGAAAACAGACTAGACTCATAACAATAAAATACTTGTGCAATTACATTATTAAATAAAGTTAAATTTCAACTAGAAGAACTGCAAAATTATCAGCTTTTAAAAGTTAATCAAAATATTGAATTTACTACAATTTTAAAAAGTAATTGTTAAGTAAACCAGTAATTCAAAAAGAAAGATGTCTTTATGATCAAAGTGAAATGCTAACGTGTGACAAAAAATTTGAAAATACAATAATGGAAATTATTGAAAATTAGAAATAAACAATTAGTACTACGACATTTGAGTTATCAAATAAATAACCCAACCTGCATAATATACACAAACTCCATTTGCTGATAATTTGTCACCTCGGAAAATTAGTTAACTATTGAAAAAAAAAAATTTAAAAAAAGCGCCTTTAGAGAGAGTTAGTCTTTTTTTTTTTAAATTCCCGAATAAGATTTTTATGTTTTTTTCCAACAGTGCAAACAAGATTACAAAATGCATTTACTTTATTTAAAATAGTACATTGCGACCCCTATTTACATGATCTAAGATTCGCAAATATACACCAGAATTCATATTTGGGTGATTTTAAAATGGAACATTGAAACTCGTATTCACTTTATTTTAAAGTCAAACATTCATATTCACGTAATTTTAAAATCACACATTTTAAATAAATAAAGTACATGAATTGAAATTTTGATTAAAACGTTGATAACATTCTGTTGATAAATTCGTCCTACACACTTTTTTTTTGTTGCTCAAATTTTACATATCTTTCCAATAATTAAAAAATTGCTTTTGCAGATAACATTTTTATATTTCTATTTTCAGCTTTTTTGATTTTACACTAAACTCATCCATGCGGCATATAGTTGTAAAAAATAAACATTTCTAAAAAAAAAAAAGAAACATAATTGCCAAACTAATTACGCAAAATTAGGTAGCGACAAAAGGGTAGAAACTACAAGAGTTAATGTGTGCAGAAAGATTTTTATTTTATCTAAGTCTACACCTAGCTATCATTATATATACTATAACTGACCATATTGTTAAAACAAAATTATGTAAAACTTGATAAATTTAATATACTTCCTTAATGTAACAGGGGTGATTGTAAGCCCAATTCAAAAACCTGGAAAATTTCTAGAGTATTATCATTAATAACGCACTTCAAAAAATTTATGTCTTCATAAATTTAAATAATCAATATTTCAAAAACAGCGAAAAATCCGGATTTTTTTTTCAAGCGCACAATCATCTCTGATGTAAGCAAAATTATAACTATAAAATCCTTACCTTCAACAAGCATTGACACAGCCATCAGAGCATCTTCTTGTACACCTCCAGATTTACCACTAGAGGAACTGAACATTTGCAACAATGCAGTCATTATGGCATCAGAAATTTTAGGTGCGTCTTCTTCAGTCATTTTTCGAAGAACACTCTTTAAGTAAAAGTCAGACATTAATACAAATAATTTATTTTGTTGAGTGGTATTACTCAACAAGAAAAACAATTAAGTATAAATTTACCTGCAATGTGGCACACAACAAAGATTGCAAATCATTGTATTGTGCTCTATCTGATGTACTTTGAATGTGGCCTTCTAAAGCTAACACATGATTCAATCGCTCTAAAATAATCATTGTAGTTTTTTGAACCCATACATAGCAGTCTTTTGGACTATTTTTAACCAATTCCATGAGAGCTTCATAAGCAGCATTTCTTAAATTAGCTTGGTTTCCATCTGGTCTGTAAGACAATAAGAAAAAAATCTTACTAACTTATATTAAAACAGTCATATACCAACACAAACTACTTATACTCGCACTAGAGATTTTGGACTGAATGAGCAAAATGGGATACTTTATTTGGTGTCATAGGTTATAAATGGCATCAGAATCATGTATGTAGAATGTGTTCCGAAAACGAACGACCACCGCCCCCTGTTTTAACGAGACAAATAATTTTTGAAGCAAGGGAATAGCAACAGTAATAAATCCCTTTTTGGGAAAAGCCTGTCATTTTAGATGGATTATTTTTAAAATTATCAATCAAAAACAAGTGAAGCCCTCAAGGAAAGTAAAATACTATCCAGTTTGGCTAACAAGTCTACGTAACTGTATTATCAGTTTTCAGAAAATAGGGAAAGAATTTTGAAAGAAATTGAGCACAAGAGAAATATTCGAGCATATTTTCAGTTTTAGTCACCAGCAAGATAACCTCATTTTTTTTAAACGCTTTTCATTTTGGCTGTTTAAAATGTCTGAAAGAAATGTTTTATTAAAAAAAGAAGTTGAGTATAAAATACTTTTTTACTTTCATAAAAAGATAAAATGTTGAAATATGAAATTAGTATACATAAAATGAAGCAAGTCACTGAATGAAACATTTTAATTATTCATGTTTAATTTTTAGTACTAACCTTGAATGCAAATTTAAGAATTTTTCAGCATAAAATAGCACAATTTAAAACTTCAGTATTTACAAAAAATTTAGTAATATGTTAACCAATTTTAATTTATTGGTCTAGCGACTATTACTAAATTAAGATGCAACATTAAAATTAGATATATAGTTAAATATTTTACTTTTAAAATTACATGTCCCCAATTTAAAGATGTAATCCATATGAAATTTTCAATATAACTTTCTATATAACTGTACAATTTAATAAAAAAAAAAGTATATCTTTATTTTTTCTCCAAATAAATTTGAAATTGATATATCCACCCATAAGAGTTTAACAATATCAGGATTTTATTTTTTGCATGAAAAGTAAACAAGCAATATTTAAATACCAGAGTATATACCAAGGGTGATTATAAGCCCAACGCAAAAATCTGGAAAATTTATTGAGTAAAATCGTTAATAACCCATTTCAAAAAATTAATACCTTTACAAATTTAAATCACAAATATTGTTAAAACATGACATTCGAAGTAAATTATATGCATCATAATTTGAATGAATAATTACGTGTAAGTTTACTTTTATTTCAAATCACATTTATTACTCTACCAAAAAAAAAAAAAAATATTTGCAAATGAAAGCGATGTCAAGTGTAAATTCTAGATCTAATATTTTTAAATAAAATAGTATAATTAGCAAAAAACCCAGAAATCAGTTTTTTTTTCAGGAGCACAATCTCTGATATACCACGTAACTATGTATGTAGATATATAATAGTATGTTATATTAAATAAAGTATACCAAAATGAAGAAATTCTTGCTTAATACACTGCATTCATACATGGCGTGATATTTTACTTCTTATAAACCTATCTTCCTATATACCCTTACAATTAACCCATAATAATCAAACTCAGCCATATATTATAGTATCATACCAAAGGAAATTATTTTAGGTCAATTAGGGGGCCAACAATGTGATAGAGTAAATAACTCTTAACCTAAGATTTTACATCAACAAAAATACATATGATCACAACGGTAAGTTCAAGATTTTTTACCTTTCCGTTGTTTCCAGTAATTTAGAAACAATCACTTCAAAGTATCCAGATAGACAATAAGTATTTGGTTCTTGATTTTCATCAGTTGCATCAGCAGCCTCATACGCAGCTTCTGCCAAACTACTGAAAGCCTAAAATTTTTTAAATAAATATGTAAATATGTATAAGAAAAATCAAAAGCATTAGCAGTGGTCTGCCTAGTTTTTTTTTCAAGAGGTACCTATTGTGAAAATTTAGAAATAATTTACAAAAATTATAGTAAAAAATTAACACAAAAATATAGTAAAATAAGAAAATATTTCAAAAATTGTTATACTACAAATAAAAATAATTTATTACTGGTAAATTTCTACATATATTTTTCCCATATGTTCAAAAACAGTTTTGCTAATTGGCTTCAAATTGTATCTTAATTCAAAAAACCAAAAAACTCATAGTCCAAAGTTAAATTTCAACTTGAATTTAATAAAAACATACATTTAACAGTACTAGCACTAAAAGTTATCTTCATTATGGGAACATTTTAGACTGGGTCATACAGAAAGGTTCACAGAAAAAAAAATGTTTCATTAAAAAAAAAAAGGTCTATCAGAATAAAGTAAGAATAATGTTTAAAATAATAGTTTGAACTTCGACTTTCCTACTAGCAGGGGCAACCTCGTCATTTCATTTTAAAAAACTCATATTTATGGTGCGATACAAACAATTAAATTTTAAGGAGGTGGGAAATCTTAGAACTTGCTTTTTTTAAAATAACGTTTTTCCTTAAGTTGAATTTGTGAAGGTATCGTTAAACGGTAGTAAATTTGCACTGGACAGATCCCTGATTAGGAACAAAATAGAAATATAATATAAACTTACCCAGCAAACATTCGAAGCTACTCTAGGTTCGGCAGTTAATCCTTTAACCAAAGCTTCTAAAAGAGGTCTTAAATATATTTCATTTACTGCAGCTTCAGGATTGAGTTCGCAAACCCTTCCAATTGTCCAAGCTACTGTGTCCCTTACAACCACACTCTCATCTGCCATCAGTTCTATGAACATGGGCATTGCTTGCTCAACAACTGGTTTCAAATTCGTAGGATCTGGTCCTTCTAAAATACAACCTAGAAAACAAAAATACAGAGTTCAAGGTGCATAGCCAAATCCTTCAGCAAAAAATAAGCACCTTTTAAGCACTCAAAAAATATTTTTAAGCACTATATACATTAATAACATGACTTTACATGATCATGATAAAATAGCTAGTTTCTGACTAAGAACTCCCTTCTTGCCAGGGTTGGCAGGTTTTTGACATGTGACAGTTTTTGACAGTTTAAACCATGGTTTAAACCGTCACGTCAAAAACCTCACTGTCAAAAATGTCGAAAATGTCAAAAACCTATATTCATATGTGAAATTTAATTAATACATAAAATTTATATATTTTTTAAAGGATAGTGTTTCTAAATATGTTCTAGAAAAAATAAATTTAAAATTTTGAAGAAACACTTATATTTTGAATAGTAACCAAGATCTTGTACTTTTGAAAACTCACATCTTTTGTAATATTATATATTCCTTTTCATGTGTTATTGAAAATCTGCAGTGATATTAAGAAATTTATTTACAACCAAATTTAGTGTATAGTATAGATTATATTAAAAATTAGACATTATGTATTTAATTAGGATAATTAAAAAATTTCCATAATAATTTGTTTAAGGATCAGTGACTGTAATGTTCTTCTGTTTAGTTTGACTTTTGTGATTGGTTGTTAGTTTGAGAAAAATCAGTAATTCTAAATTTTAAATCTTCAATTTTTTTTAATTCATAATTAACATAAGACAATACAAATTTAAGTGCTTTCTGTTAAATACACAGAGTAGTTAGTGTCGATTTACAGTATATTCAGCCTATTCATTTACTATGCTGAAAATTTAGTTTATCCAAATACTTGTGAATTTCATTTTGCTGAATACGATATAGTTTTGTTGAATATCTAAATATTCAGCTGTTGAATAATTACTTCTTGCTTTCAAGATATGCATTATTTGTATTCTTAATACAAGTGGAGAAAAAAAAATTAAGAGATAAAAATTGTTTTAAAATGATAAGTGTAATAATTATAAATAAATATAATAAACAATATGAATTATATTTATCATTATTCATAAATATAACTACTTTTAAATTCAAATTAACATACTGGATAATAAAGATATTCGGCATAACATTAAAAAAAAATTTTTATACACTCGTATCAAGTTTGTGTTTATACAACATAACTTGTAAGTTCCTTATAAATATTAGTTATATGTTCCTTATATGTCAAAAATGCATAGTAATAAACTTTTAATTTTCTTAAATATAAAAAAAAAAACATTTTTTTTTCAAAATATAAATATTTAAACTATTTTTGTGCAAAATTTTTCTGCACATGCATTTGAATATAAATTTCTGAGATTTTAAATATGTTATTTCACTTGAATTTTAATTAAAAATATTTTAAAACCTGCTGATTACCTATAGTATAATTAAATTTCAATATAATGCATGGTTGGTAGTTTTGAAGTTTATATATTTTCTTGGCAAACTTCAGTTTTTGACGGTTTAAACCAGTATTATACCCTTGTCAAGTCAAAAAACACTTTTTGACGTCAAAAACCCAACCCTGCTTCTTGCTTATATTAGCCATTATAAAAAGATGAAGAGGTTTTTCAGTTCGATATCAGAGGGTGGAAAATAAAGCCTGAAATTGAGAATATCTTGCAAAACGCAGCAGAGTTGCACATGAGAGGGCAAGAATCACACCAAACCCCGCAGTTCAGTAGGACTGGGAGGGGGGGTGTTAATTGATTATAATTGCTAATTAACTCCTTAACTTGTGTGCTCAAGTTAATTCGAGCAAGCTAAACAGGCCAAACTGTACACATTCGAGATAATTTTCGCCACATTGTATTTTATGCTGCTATAATTTTTCACACTTGAATATAATCGAGAATTGAAAATAATGTGAAAGTTAAGTAAAAAATAATAATTTTATTGATATTTATCATTTACATAGGATTGTAAGCTATAACACTTATTTATTCAAGAATAAAATATAGCCTTTTTCCATGGAACAAAAGGGAAAATATATCAAAATTGTCCACCAAAAGAAAAATTAAACCAGGAGCAGCAATGGAAACTTTGCTCTAAAATGTTTTACATTTAAAAAAAAAATATTTTTTTCAAAAAATCTGTGCATAAAGGGGTCAATGAAGATAAAACGAACTAGCCTTTAACACTGACATGAGCACCAGGGTCACATTAATAAGCAAAAATATAAATGAACAATATTTACGATAAAAATGATTGCTCCCATGCATTTTTTTATGTATTAAACTTTTTAATAAAATCAAAATTAGCTTTTAAAATTGCAATATTTCTTTTACTAGGAGCACTTTTTTATATACAGACTAATTTAAATAACTGAATATTTTTTATTTTTTCTGAAAAATTACAGAAAATGCTTTGAGCAGGTTCTAAAATTGACTGGTTAAAATACTATAAAACACATCAGAGATGAATGAAGAGTAAAATGAAGCAAAAACAAAAACTAGTTACATGAGACCGATTTAAATCAAACGTACATGTGCATTTATACAACTAATAAAATCCTTATTTGAATAGAAAAAAAGTGTATATTTTTAGATGTTAAGAAGAAATTAATACAAAAAAAAAAAGCCATACCAAATGCCATAACAGCAGCATCTCTATAGCGCCAATCAGGATTTTTTATATTATTTTTAACAAATGGCAAAACATGACAAACAATATCATCTTCACAACAAGCAGCCATCAGCATAAGACATACACCAGCAGCTTTAGAGGGAATCCAATCATCTTCATCATCATGCTCTTCCTGAAAATTTTGTAATAAATTTCAATATAAATTGCAATTAAATAACATTTCTGGTTTCTATTTTTTAATGAAATTCATTAATATATAACTACTTAGTTATCAAAAAAGTGAAACAAACCTGTTTAGTCAGAGTCTGCATTAGAATTGGTACTAAATATTGCAGTGCACCTTTAGCATAGAACCGTGATGTTCGAGCGGGAGGTCTACCTTGTTCAGAAGCCTGAATTTGACCGGGGGAAAAAAACATAACAAATTAACACATAACAAAAATTATTTATTAGTAATTGAAATTAATTTTAATCATATTTACCTCGGATGCTTCAATATCCAAGTCAACTTCCTCATCACAGACATTGCTCCAAAATTCAATACCCTGGAGTGCAACTTCATCAATATCACTTTTCATGGCTTCCATTGTAATCTGAAAGATTTTTCACTCAATGATTAAAACAGACAAGTTAAATTTTTATTTTAAAGAAACTTAAAAGACCAGATTTTTCAACAAAAAATAAGCACCCTTTAAGCACTCAAAAAATATTTTTTATCACTTTCCAAAAAAGGATTATAATTAGAATCTGTGCATTAATTTAAAAAAAAAAAATTCTATCGTTTAAAGTTTTTAATTTATAATCAATAAAATTCAAAAACATTTTCAAAAACTTTACAGAATCATGATAAAATAACTAGTTATTGCAGAGATATTTGTAAAAATCATGTATTTTTTTGTAATTTAGAACGACAATCAACATGGCAAAGAAAAAATGTCTCTTTAAAAGATATCTAAATAAAGAAAATACCTTAAGGGCTTCTAAAAAACAAATCCAAATTAAGCACCTTTAAGCACTTTTTGAAAAGCACCCTGAAAGAGGACTAAAACCTTTGTGGAGGGTAGAGCTAAACATTAAACGAATTGTAGGCAGTGAAACCTGTTAAAATGACCTCTGTATCCCTGTGGCAGAATCACAGCGACTTGGCGAAATTGTTACAGAACATTCATTGCTGAGTACTTGTAGTTCCTTAAACGTCAAAGTGGAGTTTTACTTGGGAAATAAAAATTTTAGTTTTCTTTTCAGAAAAATTTGCCTTTTTCCCCCCTCTCTGCAGAATTAAATAACAAATATGCCTTTTTTGCGCATCGAAGAGAAAAAAATTCAAGATTTTTCAATTCTCATTTAAGAATAATAAAAAAAAGTTGGATGTAACTGGCTTCAACAAAAACTTCTAAGTAATATAAAAAAAATATTTCAAAATCGCGAAAGTTTAAAAGATAGTTCACTCCAAGAAACTATGTTCTCTCATTAATTTTTTTAAAGACACCATATTTTATATTTGACTGGGGATTTTATTACATATTCGTAGCAGAAAAAAGTATGGTACTTTGCTTTTTTTAAAAACTTGGTTAAAATAAAATAGATTCAATATTTTTAAAACAATATTACTAGCATGAATATTTTAAAATGCTCATTTGAGTCTCTACTTTAACCCTTATCCCTCACAACTTGAGCCAATTCCATTGTAAATATATGTTGCATTATGTTGTGTGTAACTATATGAATATGTTTTGTTATCTTCCCGCAACTATTACTACTAATTTTCATAAGGTTTTTTAAAATCAGAATGTCTTATCGCTCAGTTATTACTATAGAGTAGGGGTGCAGAAAGCTTGAGAGCCCGAGGGTAAAATGCGGCCCACAAAAGCTTTTTATTTTTTTGAAAAATATAAAAAATTTCGAAAATTTTGAATCCCACATTTGAGTCAAGTAAATCTGTGTTTCTCGATCTTTTACTTCACTGTAATAGCTTCAAAATTTTACATGGTTTTTAAAAGATTCAATACTTTTAATACAATATTAAGATACGTGAATATCCAATAGACAATTTCATCTCAAGTCCAAGTGATTTTTCCCATAAATTTTGATCAATTGAAATTTGTATTTGAATTTGTATTAATCATCAAAATATGCATTTATTGAATTATCTTTTATATTTTCATTCTGTGAAGTGAACGTTTTTTTTTAAATTGTACTGTTTTTTTTTTTTTAAATTGTACTAAGTGATAAGACAAAAAAGAAAACATTTCTTTTATCCATTTTTATATTTTATAATATGCAAGAATATCTCCCATAAAATCAAAAAAATGTTACATAAACAATTAAAAAAATTGTATATGGTTTTGTATGAGTAGGCAATTTTTTTTTTTTTACTTTTGTAAATACAATGCTTCAGTTACTTTAAATTAGTAATTGTTATTATTAAAAGTATTATACAAAAAGATATTTGTGCAAGTGAGCTTAGTCAAAGACAGACTTAAAATAATTATGCTACAGGGCTTTCTATGTTAATTATCTGTCTAGGTTGATCTTAATGTTTGGGTGCCACAAACAATAAAATTTCTCAGGCTGACCACTTATCTTAACAGATAAAACTTCTGTCTATTTAGACATTAAAAGTGGTTAATAAACAGGCTTCACTGTAAGAAAATTAAATAAAATAAGCAGACAGGCTTTTTACAACTTTTCAAAAACTTCATATTATTAAGTATGTGCCTATAAATATCCTACCAATAAAATAAAAAAATAAAAATTATATATATTTATATATATATATTAAATAAATGCATTGAAACATGTCAAAACTCATTTTCAAAAGTTTAAGCCACAAAAAATAATTTATACTTAAGAATGAAAAGAATAAAGATTATGAATATAGATGACAGAAAAAGAATATAGATGACAGAAAAAAAGTTACATTAGCATCATTTCCATCACCATTACCCCACCCATCCCCTTATATCTAAGATTACACAGTTTAAAGAAAAAAAGTGACAAAATCTAAACTATCTTAAATAATGAAAATAACAAACATCTAAACAATTTTGGTTGCACAAAAAGATTGCACAGCAACATAATAAGAGTAGAAAACATAATAGTAAAAAAATAATAAATAAAAAAAACATAAGGTCAAGAAGAAACTGTGCAGAAACAGACAAAAGTACTTTTGAATAATTTTAGATACAAAAATTATTTTATATCTTACAGCAAAAAGAGCAGGCCCCATGTAAGCTTCCATGTACTGATAGTACAAAGACATAATTTTTACTAAGCACTGAAGAGCAGCAACTTTAACCTAAAAAAATTAAAGAAAAATACATATGTTAAATGTAGCTCTTACAATAACACAATAAAAAAAATTTGACAAATCATAAACAAAGAAATCTGACAGTTTGTACTCAAACAGTGACAAAACATTTTGCACAAAACAATACACATTGCTAATATTTGCTACAAACATTGTTCTATAATTGCAACGGAATATATGGCACTAATCATTGCATTACAAAAATCAGCCATTTATCAAAAACTACAATAGCAAAAATTCATTAAAATCAGTATCACTATTTCATAAAATAAAAAAAAAAGCTTTTGGAGTGAATGATTTTTTTAAAAAAAAATTCATACCCTCAAAATACCCATCTATAAATTCATAGTGCTCTTTTCCCTGAAAATTTTTGAGTTTTCTTAATTCTTAAATTCTGAAAGACGTGTAGCATATAGATCAAATTTCAGTTTGTCTTTTGCCAACCTTGAACTAAAGAAATGAAGCTACAAGTGTAAAATACCACCTCTTGGATAAATTGTAGAGTTAGAGAAAAATAAATTAAATATACAACTGGAAAATAATGCAAATGAAAATAGTTGGAAAAATCTACTGAAATGAGAGGGAAAAAAACTAAATGAATGAGGGTATAGTTAATCTTACATTTTATAATTTTGTAGTGGCAACATGCCTAAACAAAGATTTAAGAGATTAATGATGAATTTGAAACGAAACCTATAAACTAAACAATTTAATGTAAAACTGCCATACATTTTCAAGCAATGTTGAAATCTTTAAATTCAAATTTTGTTGATCAAAATAACACTACGCCAATTTTTTTTTAATATACTGCGGATGTTAAATCAAAGTAGAAAATAAATTATAACTTAAAATAAAATATGAATATAATAATTCAGATTTTAGTTTACTTCAGTGTTTCCCCAAAGTGTGGTACACGTACCTCCAGGGGTTCTGGAACTGTTTAGTGGGTGCACGGTCTTATGTGAAATATCTTGCAACGAATGAAAATTTTAAAAAGTTTTATTTAAAAACAAAGCTAGCCATGAAAATTCCGTTTACATATTTTTCTATTGGCTATTTTTAGCAGAGTTAATAATAGAGTTAACAGTTGATAATAGAGTTAACAGTGTCAACAGCCAGTTGTGATTTAACTTTCGTCCAATTTTTTTATCACAGCAAAAACAATACATCCTTCTCACTGATACAAATAAGCTTATTAACAAAACTTGTACCAAAAAAGAAAAAGCATATTTTTAAAAAAATACATTCATTTTTATTTTAATTAGTGGTACACAGCGTTAAGGGAACACAAAAGCCATAAGTTTGGGAAACACTGGTTTACTTGATTACTGTAATTTGGAAACCTTTTAGTTTTTTCTCTAATTATTAACATGCAGATTCTCAAAATCAGTTACCATAGGAAAATCAAATATCTCCAGAACGAGTGGGATTTTAATAAGCAACAGGCACTGTCAAAGTTAAATAAAAGAACTTTTTGCGAACAGAAAATCTCAACAAAAAAACAAAAACTTTCTGCACACATTGATTGTAATTGTACAATATAGGTGAGCAATGTTCACCTATATTATACAGGTCTGGGCACTGTAGTGAATACTTTATATTTTTCCACCCTCTTATCAATACATTAACTAAAAGGTAAAAAATGAACTTTCTAATAGAAAAATCTACTTATCTTTTGTTACACAGGACCTTAAACAAAAATAACTTATGCTAAAATTAAAATTAATTAGATCTACATAAAAACTGCAATTTTGTAAAAGGGATCTTAAAAAGTATGAGTATAAAGTTAAAGTATGAATCTTTAGGATACATACAAGCTGGACTAAAATAATTATTATGACCAATAAATAAGCCTAGCTTAAAAACAAAAGAACATTAGAAAATTGACAAAGTAAAACATATCTACACAAACATTGTGAATTAGTCAACACCAATATGGTATATACTTCTTGGCTAAAAAATTCAGTTTCTCTTAGAAAAAAAAACTAATTTTGACCCAAGAGGTGCCCAGCCATACCCCATTCTCTTTCACGTGCAATTTTTTAAAGAAAATTTTGATATTAATTATAAAAAAGCTGTCTCAAGTCTAATAACTAGCCAGTAAGTAAAAAAACTTGTCATCTTTTAATTTGAATCCTCATCTAAAAAGGTCAACTGAAATAAATAGGTTATTGCCCTGATTAAAAAGAAATATTTTCACTCAAAAATTTAAGTTAGGAGAAGAAACAATTTTCATTGTGAAAATAGATTACTTTCTTTTACAGAAAAGATAAGAAAAAGTTATGTACTTTCAATCACACACATTTATTTAAACACATCATAATTACACAATATATATATATATATATAGTGATACCTCGAGATACGAGTTTAATTCGTTATGTAACCTTGCTCATATCTCAAAACAATTTTTCCTGTTGAAATGCCATTAATCCGCTCCAGCCCCAAAAATGCTACACCCGATCGTTTTTGTTACGTGTTTTTGAATAAGAAAAATGTATTTATAAATGACAAATATTGCATAAAATCATAATAAAAGAGAATGTAAAGCAAAAAAAAAAAAAAAAAAAANCTGGTTTTATAAAGTGTACATACATATTTGTATTTTGGTCACTTAAATGCAACTTACACACAACTTAAATGCTACTGTACGCTTAATTTTAGTTACTGCTTTTTCTCTTCACTGGTCTTTGCTTTTTTAGCCGGATTAAAAAAACTGTCCAAAGGGGTTTGTATCTTCTTCCGTTTCAGAATGCTGCAGAAATGAGTTAGGCAAGTGTCATTAAATAACTCCGATGCACGACCAGTTGCAACTTTTTCGGGGTTTTTTTCTTCCATGAACTGTGAAATTCTCTCCCTCATTTGCAAGAACCTCCTCCACCTCTGACTCTTCCTCGAAACCAATTTCTCGCAGAAGCCCCGAATGCTGCTGCGACTGCAACTCTTGTAATTCCTCGGTCGTCAGTTCCTGAGAGTGCTCCTCGACAAGCTCATTCATGTCTCTCTCACCCATCACCAGGTCCATGGATTTTCCCTGAGACACAATATCTTCCTCCACTGGCACCTCGGGTTTGAATCTTCGAAGCTACAGACTCAGGCCACAGTGCAATTTTTCGGCTACAGACTCGCTCAGGCCACAGCTTCTTCCATGCAGTGGTCAAGGTCCTCGTTGTAACACTCAGCCAGGCCTGATCAATAATTCTGAAGCATATCACAATGTTAAAGTGGTACTTCCAGTACTCTCGAAGGGTGAGGTTTGTGTTCTCTCATTTCAAAGCAGCGCCGGAACCTTAATATATAGCTTTTTAAAATCAGAAATCACCTGCTGATCTATGGGCTGCAGGATAGGAGTGGTGTTAGATGGTAGATAGAGGACCTTTATAAACTTGAACTCTTCGAGGATGTCATGTTCGATGGGTGAGCAGGAGCATTGTTGAGGATGAGAATGGCCGTTCCTCGTATCTCAAAACAAAACTTCGCTCGGTCGCCAGCTCTTATCTCAAATAACTCATATGTTAGAGCACATGTATCTCGAGGTACCACTGTATTATGGTTAAATTATTTCAACTAATTCTAAAAAATTTCAAAATTATTTTACCCTTTTGCCTTAAAAATAAAACATTCTAGCATAGTAAAAAAAGCAACAATCAAAAACACTAACTACATTAATTATCAAAACATGTTTTTAAACCCACCTTAGTATCAGCAGACTGAGTAGCTTCACACACGACCTGCATGATGAAATGCCTCTCAGATTCCTTCTCAAAGTTGGCTTTGGTAAATTCTAAAGAGTTTAGAAGTGCAGTTGTTGCTGCTAGCTTAACATGATCACTAGGTTCATCTTTTCTAATCCCATGAACAATTGCAGTCAGGATGTCATTTGATTGTGAAACAAGAACATCTGGTTCCTATATTAAAATAGCAAGATATATTTGAAAAAGAATTTTTATTGAATATATTTTTCATACTTTTTTCATTATGTTGTATTTGTTTAAGTCAAAATAAGTGAAATATATTATACATAGCATTTCAATAAATTATGGTTACGAATTACAGCATTAAACACCAGTGTTTTTCTGCGTTAGGGTAAAATCTTTTAAACACAGCTTGAACAATAATTTTTCTAATTTGCGATTATTTGCTGTAATTTAAAACTAAGAGAAACAGTTATTCATCCTTGAGTTATTTATCATTAATAAAATTTATAGATTTTATAAATTACTTTAATTTAAAAAATCAATTAATAACTAAAATATAATTTTGCTCAAAATAACTTAAATATATTTTTTTTTTCATAATTATAGAGTCAGAAATACAGATAAAAGGCAAACTACAATTATAGAAAACATAATAGTAATTGTCAAAAGAGCTAGTAAACTTAAACAACAAATATGAAATTATGTACACGGTAACAAAGCAACTTATACACATGTGATTATAGGAAGAAACTATCTGAAATTTGTTTAAATTTATTACTATTTTTTTTCCCTCTTCTCTTGAACGTAAAAGATATAATTTTTATGCACAAAAAAAACACATATATATACAAGATTTAAAGAGAAAAGAAATTTTTTGTTATCTAATAAGATTGAAATACATATTTACGATACTAATTGTGTTGAAAAAGGATTACTGAAATACGAGATTCAAGATTTATGACATAATATCATATTAAAAATTAATTGGAGCAAAATAAAAAAGGGGGATAAATGTATCACATTGATTAAATAATTCTTCTGTTACACATCAGAATTAAACAAAATTGCTACTCATTAAAACCTAAATTTAAAAAAAAAAGTGAAAACACCATTTTTCTAGTTAATAAATCAGTTCAATTAATTAGTAGTTAATCAATGCATCAAAGCTATTATGAAATATGAAGTTACGTTTTTCTCGAACAAATCCGCATAAAAAAAAGTAGTTATTGCGTGTGCATGAGAACTTAGAAAAAAATATGGTGCTGGTAAGTTTGGAATAGTTAACTAGATTTTACGCTATTAGCAAAATTAAAATTTCAGATTAGCGGAACTGTGATAAAACTTTGTTGTTGAAATATAACATTTTGATTGCGGAAGTCTGTGAATCAACAGTCTTGAGATTCACAGAATTCTGCAAAACAGCTGAAGAATTGCAAGCCTGAATTCACGTTAAAAATTTAACTATGTTTCAAAATACAAAAATAGTACCATAGATTCAAGGAACTCCCCGTTTGAAAAAAATAGAAGGTGTAGTTTTTTTCACCATTTAATCCATAGCAAACTTAATATTTTTATAGAAGACTCAATTTTTAAAGACTATATTTTCACTTTACTTAAAATAGTAATAAGTTTTTAGAATCCCAATCAAATATTTGAAATAGATATATTTGCAAATAGTTTAACACTATGCTAAAAGCAACATTAAAAACTTAGTATTTTTACAGAAGACAATTTTCTCCGCCTGAAACTGTAATAAGTTTTTTGAAACCATCACAACTAAATAATTTAACAAAATCGATTTTTCACTTAGGACAAAAATTTAACTTTTGATTGACTTAAATTATCATACAAAGTTAGATAGCTTTTAATAGACTTTAGCAAAAATTTTGGGTTTTTAATACTTTTCGAAGCCTTGTCAAAAAGAACTGCTGTAAAAAATAGAACAAATTTTAAGAAAGCCTGTAAAAATAACTATTTGGTTAGTCTACAAACATTTCTATGCCTATATACAAATAATACAATAGGTAAGCTTACTATATCCTGACAGATGTATCCTATTGCTTCTAGTGTTGCCTCTTTGGTCATTTCAGTGGAGTTTATGTTAGTTATATTCTGTGTAAGTAATAAAATGAGATCTGGCCATTCCCCACGAGGTAACTCTGCAACAGCAATATAAGCTACACACTGTGCAGCAGAACTAGGTCTGAGAGTTTCTGTTCCTAAGGCAGATAGCACCTACAAAAATAATAAATAAAACAAAAATAATTAACTACACTGAGGAATAAACAAATATTTTTAACATGGCAATTTAAATTATGTAGGCCAGTTGCAGTTAATCTAAGAAAAACAACTAAAACAGAAAAAAAATTCTATTTTAATAATAATTTTTCAATAATAACAGCAAAGATTTGCCCTGACAATAGATCATTGCAAAATTTCAAATGAAAACGAACGGAACTTAAAGGGTATGATCGAAAACATAAGGCAGTGTAAATGTTTGATGCAATTGAATTGCAAATTACTTGATTTTCTGCTGATTTGCATAATTTATAAGGCCCCATTCATTAATACTGAGCGATACATCATTACCTCAGAAATTTACCAATATAAACAATGTTTCCAGATGTATTGTTGGCAACGGCGACAACACGTGCCAGGTTAAGCATTATTTCGTATAGTACAACGATGGTTTCAAGTGCATGTGATGAGCACTTCTCCTGGCCATTAAATCCATAACTGCAAGCTCAGTGCACAGAGCTTTTTTTCATTATGGATAGTAATGAACTAAATTAAAGATAGGAAGGGGTGACTGGGAAGTTTCGTGCATTTTAGCGTCAGCTATTCCTAAGTTATCAATTTCTCAATTCACCAGAAAAGTTTTTATTTTTCTGTTTATGAAGACATTTATAAATGATCTCAATGTGCATTTTAATTTTGGTTCTTATATTCATGATTACTTATTTAATGACATAAGCAGAGGTGAACTAATTTTGGTTGCAAGCCCTCCTTCACAAGATATTAAAATTTTTAATGTATCATGTCGACTTGAGATTTAATCATTTAAAAATATATATTATATATATATTGTTGATAATTAGATAACTTATGGCATTTTTTGTAAGGTAACTGATTATTGAATTTATTACAATATAATTGCCTCAATTTATCAATTAAAAAGTCCAAGAATTTGAAATTACACAACACCAAATGTAAAATATTAGTGTAACGATACATCACAATGCCGAAATCTAAACATCGCCCAGTGCTACTACTTATTCTCAAATTTAAGAAAAAACACTGATTTTGAGATCTTTTAAGAAGTGAGAACTACATTGAACTCTAAGGAGATAAATTTTTTCAATCAAAACTGAATTAGATAAAATTTTAATAGTCAAGCCAGTGGACAAAACAAAAGTTTTTTTTTTCCCCTTCCCAACTTCGCTTTTTTGTCACAAAACAAAAATATAGATCTCTAAAATTGAGAATAAAATTTAATAAAAAAAAACCTGTAAACACTTAAAGTATGCTTAAAAAAAGTAACATATAAAAATTAGTTTCTGTTCTTAAAAAACTACTCCAATATTGTTCAAAACGAGAAAATCAGAATGCATACACCAAATCATAAAAATATAATAGTCATCATGCTATTTTCATGCACTCTCACTAAAAAGAAAAATTGCATAACATACTCATTGAAATAATAAATGCATAAAAAACCAGATATCATTGGCTCTCATTAAATGAAATAAAGTTTTTAAAAGTTCTTACCTGTACCTCATCCAACAATATTTACAAATAATATTTATCACCACTTCTTAATTTTGTTTTGTTGTTACTTTTTTGTTTTGAATGTTTATAAATTAAAATTGTTTTTTGTATCATATTATTAAATAACATTTTTAATAAATATGCAATATTTTACGAAATATTCAGAAAATTAAAACAATTAATTTGTTTTTTGTCCTACAGCTGAAAAAATTTTTGGTTAAAAATATTTAACAAAAAAGGCAACCTAACAATTTAAAAAAAAAATTTGGGTGAAGTTACAAAAGCAACAAACTTCAAATTATTAGATTCATAGGTTCAAAAGCTGAAACCAAATCTGTTTCAATGTGTTAATTTAGATCTTTTATACTATGTTTCCCCTTAAGTTGGCACTGCAGGGAAGGGTAGGGAATGTAATACTCCGCCTTTGAAAAGTAGTTCTTCGCTATTTTGGAATTAATTGCAGTTTAAATGCGTGTACAAATATAAATAAATGTTGCATAATAAGAAAAGTTTATCTTGAAATATTGAAAAGTTTTTCATGTTTAAATGAATTTAACTTATAAATACCTTCTCAGTAAAGCGAATGTACAAAGAAGGTGTTTTAGTTTGGAGCTGAATTAGTTTTCAAGGCCAAGGAAATTAATGCGTTGGCTATGTTTTTACACTGGTCAGCCAGCTCTTTCCATTATCCTTGCCTTTGCTTAAGTGTCCTATCTCTTGCGTAGTTCTTATTTCGCTTCACGCGCATCACTTAATTGTTAATCTACGATTTCTTGTTTTTTACTAGTTATTTATTATTAGCTCGATTTTTATAGTTAATTTTTTTGTTGCATTAATTGTTAATTTTTTGTTGTGATTCCTTGTTAGATTTTCTTTTTTTGTTGCTAATTACTAAATGTCAGCATGTTTTTCTGGTTAGTTTGTATTATTTTGTTACTTATTAATCGATAGCTTTTTTTTTCTCTTGTAAGTTATTCATCTTTAGCTTGTTTAAATATATTTCAGAAAAAAATTACTTGACAATGATTACAATGATTTCCTGCCTGAGTTTACTTTTTTTCCCTCACAAAACACCAAAGTGGGATAAATTAATGTAAATTAATCCACACAAAAAAGTTGCATATAAATATATGAAACAAAGTATTTATGAGCATCTTAGCTTTTTTTTTTATTAGATTTAAGCAATAAAAAAAAATCTTTTTAAATATATATTTTCTTCTGTTGTTAAAATTAGTTTCGTTTAGTTAAAAAATAATAAGAAAATCTGTTTTTTAAAAATCATAATAAGAAAATCTACTTTTTAAAAACCATAATAAGAAAAATCAGCTTACAACTAGTATCTTAAATAATTATTAGAAATGCTCTAAAAAACCATGTTCTTTTCTGTATTCTGTTCAAAATTTTAGTAAGATTCTTGGTTTTTTTTTTTTCTTTTTTAAATATCTCATTATGTTTTCTTTAAAGCCAATACTGGCCACTTTCTCTACTTTTTTTGCTACCTCATCCCTCAACCGACTTATAAGAGTAACCCAGTTTCCATGACAATGCCTGTAATCCGGTTACCCTTCTCTACAGTGCCAACTTAAGGTGGAATGAAGTATAATTGAATTATTTTTAAATTTAACGTACAACTCTGCTTAGTGTTATGAAAATAATTTTATACAGTTGATAAACAAATAGATTAGGGATCAATGATCTTTTGCTAATCAACAAATGATCAGCAAAAGAAATTTATACTATCAAAAACACAATAAAATGTGGTTCCTAATTAATACATACATTTTGTTTTACAAAACTCCGCACATCTGAAGGAAATTGTAGCCAACGCTCTTGATACTTAAGCTTGATTTCTTGGTCTTTTGAAGTCAGCGCATTTTTGAGCTGCAAGCCAGCAGCCATTCGTGCAACTGGAGAATTATTGGCATGTTGAAGTACATTGGACAATGACTTCAGAAATTCAGGCTAAAAATAGAAAAATATTGAAATTGAATATTAGACAATTTTCTTATTTTTTTTAAAATAAAAAGTTTTCAACAATAATTTGATAATTTAGTTATCTTATAAATAATTATAAACTTGCAAATAATAGTATTGAGAATCATGAAAAAAATAGTTTAACTTAGAGGGCAATAGAACTTATAATACTAAAATTATAAGCAGACAAGAATAAAAAAAGAAGCAATCTTTAGTGTAAATATCAAGACAAACTGACAGATGTTGGATATTTTCATATCGTGATCTGTTGCACTAACTACAATAGCCAAGGTGCCATATAGATTTTAAATATGCAACCTTTCGAGTTAGTCCCTTTCTGTAATGTTTTTTCATAATTTCTTGAGGGGCGTTGTCCAGAAGTTGACAAGACTTGCCACTTATTCTGCCGCAGATCACGATAGGGAAATATCCTTTAGATGTTTAATACTTGTGTAAAATCTAGTTGACTATTTTTGCTAAACTAAGTACTTTAATGTTAATTTTGAAAATAAATAATGCAATAATATTTTTATTCAAATGTTCTTATAACAGCATTATTTTTTAAAAACACAGAATTCATTTTGATTATGCACTGGTTACAATATGAAATATTTTGATGCCAATTTATATTTAAAAAAATTTACACCAAGTTTCATAATTGACATGATATTATACTACTACCAACCATTTTCTAGAAGCTAAAAAATACAGTTAAATTGAAAATAACTATTGTCACTGAAAAAATTAAGTTTAGCAATTGGATAAATGCTTTAAATTTAACACATTTTGATCATATTTTGTCTACCATTATTATTTTACTAATATGTTAAAAAGTCAAAAAATGTAATAAAATTTTATTTTTCTACAGGGATGAGATTAGCCAAAAAAGCTGAATTTCCACGATAGTAAATTTTACGCAAGTGAAACCCTTTAATAATAAATTCCAGACAGTTTAAGGTAATAAATAATGTGTTGACATACAATTGTGTACTAATCTATTATTATATAAATGATTACATTGATACTTAACATTTAGTGAAAATAAAAATTACCAATTGAAAAAATAAAGCTGGAAATTATATTTTTCCTCAGTTCACATAAGAGACAATTATTACTTGAAAAACTACCTGGTTTAGCAAATTAAAACTACTGAGAATATACATTAATATTTCATTTCTTTTAATAAATACTGTTATGTGATTTATAGCAAATATATCAGTAATATTACTTTTTAAATTATATTGGAAAAAAAAACTTTAACAATGGACCGAATCATTATGTTCATATTATAGTCTAATCTAACTACAGCCCTCTGAAACATATCAATAACAGTGAAGTAGAAATATATAGTAACTCCTTAACATACAAAAATTGCTATTTTAGTTTGAAAAATTACATGACAATCAGCAACTGTTTAGATAATTGTTTTTTATTTGATAAGAATTTTGCATTTTATAGCATAAATAACAGCAATTATAAATAAAATTTTGATGATGAGTTAATTAACTCTTTTTCCCCCAAATTTTTTTTTTAATTAAATCCCTTTTTAAGTGATTGCTTTTGTTTGCTATATCTTTTATGTTTGCTATATTTAGTCGTTAGTCCATCTTCAAACATCTTGTGACAAATCCTATTTTTTCTTCTTTGCAAGCACAGAATGTAAGTTTTGAATATATTCCCTTCCAGTTTCTCTGATGTTGTAACACTTACATATACTAATAATCGTCGTTAGAAAAACAGTCACTTTTATAGTAACTAATATTTAAAAAAAATTTACTTCTTACAAGAATCGCGATAGTTGATCTTAAAATTGCGTGAATATGAATAATTATGAATTTTGAAATCACATGAATATGAAACTAGATAAACGATTTTGAAAATGAGAAAATACAAACTGGGATATAGAATTTTTAAAACGTGTAAATACAAATCAGTATTCATAATTTTTAGATCGCGTGAGTATGAATCATGATGCGTAATTTTTAGATTGCATAAATAGGAATTATGATGCATAATTTTTAGAATGCGTGAATGTGAATCCCAATGCCTTATTTTAAAATCACATATAAATACGAAAATCAATGTTTGATATTATAAACCGCATGAGCAAATCAAGACATTGAATTTTAAACTAACATGAATACGAATCGCTACATAAGTTTTTAAAAAGGCGTAAATACGAATCACAATATCAGATTTTTAAATCTCGTAAATAAGAATCGTAACGTACAATATTCAAATCGTGTAAATTAAAAATCGCAACACGCAAGTATGAAAAGCTATGTTTGATATTAAAATCGTGTGAATAAGAACCGAGATATTAGCAGATTCCAGGCTTGGGACCTCTAAAAGGCTTGCCAGAAGCACCGTCGTTTGAACTACGAAAATCGGATCTATCTGGAGGGCGGGGTAGAAAATTCAGAATATCTTATCTGCTGCATGTAAAAGGGGAGAAAATAGCTAAAATAAGTGAAAATGAGAAAGGATTGGTAGCTATGTAGTTTGAATTTTCTGTTTCTCTTTGAAAAATCAGTGAATTTTCTGAAAAAGCGGAATACTTATAAAAAAAAGGTGAAATTTTTAGAAAATCTGAATTTTTGATTTAAAAAAAAAGCTGAAATTCTAGAGATAAAAGTGAAAATCCGCTAAAAAGCGGAAAAATCTCATCCATATTTTCTAGCATCAAAATTTTAACTTTTTTTATTCATAAAGAAAACTTAACTGATCACACAATATTTTTATTCAATAGAAATGAGAATACATACCATTTTTTTCTTGCATTACTCCATAATTACCATTACAAGAACTATTTCTGTTTAATATTTTTAATAATTATCATTTAACAAATATTTATTCATGTTTAAAAAGTCAACAACTTAAAACATATAATCAGACCTCAAAGAATACTTTTTTTTAAACCTTGAACTACATTCAGATATACACAGAAAGAAACAAATTATACAAGACCACATACCAAATTAGTTTGAGCAGCTTGTTCCAAATAGCTCTGTGCAGCCTCTAGCTCAGATTTATCTGTAATAGAATAATCAATATGTTAGTAAGTAAATTAATGTAAAGAATATTTTATTTTGAAACCGTTAGGACTTAATCAAATAAAACCAAAAATTTTTTGTTTTATTTGACCATATAAAAATTTTGGCCACGCATTACTTTTACCTTTACATGATTAGCCGTCATGGGTGCAAGTTGGAAAAAAGGGAAAGACGGAAAATTTTTTGACTGAAATACCTAACATACACGATACCCCCTCGACATATGCAAACTATCTAAGAAAGCTTTACCATAATACATCAAGATTAAATACTGTACAAAAAATATTTATTCATCTGTTTTTTGATAAAATAACAACAGGACATTAGACCAATAACGTAGACCTAAAAAATATTTTTATGGACAGAAAAAAAAATTCCGATTTCCGCCTTCGAGCCAGTCTTGTTTCCGTTCGCGGACATTTTCGTAAGACGGAAATCCGTCCACGGACATTTTCGAAAGACAGAAATCCGTCCGCGGACATTTTCGAAAGACGGAAATCCGTCCTGGGGACGGAAGACTTGCACCCATGTTAGCCGTGCATGTTAATATTTAATATAAAATACAGCCAAAATATAAATTAAGAACTCCTTCTTTCAGGCAGCAGCCCACAAGGAACTAAAAAAAAAAATTTAAAAAAAACCATCACAGAAATGAACCAGCTTGAAGGAAACAACTCGTGGCCACCTCAGGGCAAACGTCTACAGGTTTTTTGGGTTTTTTTAAATTTCAGTTTAAAATCAATTTGGCGCCTTGTAGATTGTAGTTGGCATGACAGATCACAACACGGAAATATCCCCTTGTCTTTCTCGTAAGTGAAACAGATTATGCAATAACAAGTTTCTTCATATGTTTTCAGTTTAAAGCAAAAATTTCTGTATCAGTATCTACACCCAAAAGATTGCCAAGTTATAGCAATTTTTGGAAAATAGCCACAAGAAGCTAGGAAACAATTCACAGAATGAGACCAATGCGAAAGATATTACTTGTAATAACATTGAGCAAACTACTATATAATATATTTTAGTAAGTTAAAAAACCTTTTGGGGCGATTGTTAAGCTAGCGGGTAAGGACAGATATCACTATGGAAATGTGAACTAATAATATACAAACATACTAAAAGTTTAGACACATGATTTAATTCAAACATGCAGCTTGTAGGCTATCGCTACGGAAATGTGAACTAATAATATACAAACTTACTATACAAACATACTAAAAGTTTAGACACATGATTTAATTCAAACATGCAGCTTTGTAGGCTAACTTGGCCAGCATGACATTTAAGAACTTTCATTAATCGAAATTATATAGGTAATTTATGGATTTTTATGTCTAACTTGTTTTCGACAACATAAGTATCAAAGACTTAAAAATAAAATCACAAATTATTGCATATGAAGTATTATAACATAATATTGAAAACATTAATTTATGCAAATAAGTACTAATATTTACGTGTTTGCAGCACTCAATTGAAATTTGAAGCCGAATAATCACCAAGTTTTGGCACTTTCCAAGCAAAACAACTCTGAAAGGGAACAACTCAAGCAGTATAACTCTTAGCCACCCCCAGGTAAAACTCTTAATTACAAGTTTAATTTTGATCATATGTCACAATCAATTGCAAACTCACTATGAATTTACCCCAAGTTAAAATCTAAAGATCAAGTAAATAAATACATTGTATCCTTTTAAACACAAACCACAGTGAAACAATTTCTTATGATTAGTACTTTTAATTAGGTTATTAGTTAAGATAGAAAATAATATTGCGATTGTTGACTGACATACAAAATTAAGAAATATACACTTAAACAATTTAAAAATGAAAAGATAAAGCGTTTTTTCCTTAAAATAAATGTAGGAGAATATTTTTCAAACTTAATACGTTCATAATACACAACGAATAAAAAATGTGATCCGCAGATATATGAGAACTTGTTTCGCCAATTATTTAACATCACACAATTATCAACACATGGGATTAATAAATACGCACAAATTCTTCCCAAAAAGATTTATAAATCACTTTTTTTAACCGTTTTTACATAAGTGATAGAGGGATTTCACAATGTACGTCATAAAACAGATTCCATACAAAACTATAAACTTAATTATAAAATTAAGAAATGGAAAACATATTTCTTCATGGAGTCCCGACATTAGAAAGTAAAAGGCATAATTAATATTATTGTAAAAGTTTATGTAATGACAAACAGCGATTAAAATCTTGGTTTAAATAAAACACTACTTCCTAAGCCTAACCTAACGGATTTGCAATGGCCCTTTAATTGCAAGAAACACAAAGGAAAATACTATTTTATTCTCAACTTACCAGGTGAAACGGTCTTTTCCAAAATGCTGATTAAATCCATGATGAGTGTAGCGAATAAAATATGGTAAAAACAATTTTACATTAGGAATGTTGTATTTTCATAAACATATACGAATGAGTCTCGTCATCCGCAGAAATACCGGCAATTCTAGCTTATCGCGCTCCACATGGCATCGTAAGCAAAGTGAGCGCGCGCAACATCGGACCGGCTGACACAAAAACGAATGAAAATTTTTAAATAAAATGATAATTAAAAATATTGTGTACGTTTCCAGAATTTTCCAACGAAATTTTTTTTTAAAAGAAATGAATAACTTTCAAACTAAACCTTTTTATTCACTTAAAATTAAAATTTTATTAAGAACTTCTGTTGGAGCTTTCAACAGGGACAAAAGTGATTGATTTTTAAAACATTAAATTTCATTTTATGAAAACAAAAAAAATTCAATAACTTCCTCAAATAATAAACAAAAATTAATTCCAAGAAGCATTGTGAGTCAATAGTAGTTTTGGTTGGTTTAGATGATCAGCACTTGAGCTCTATTACGCAATCGTTGGGCAGGATTTCTTTCATTCTTTTTTATGAGTGGCAGGCAGTTCATGAACAGTGATTAATTATTTTCCAACTACAAACCTACATCCCAAACCTACATACGTTTACATTTCCTTTCAGGAGACTATTCCTTTTAGGAGTGTAAAAGATCGTTTCTAAACCATAAAGCATCGGAATACTTCATGTATAAAATTCATCAGGCTAAAGAGTACTTCATGTATTAAAATATATTATGCGGGTTAAGCGGTAGCTTATTAAAAATATTTAATAAGCTACATTTAAATAATAAAGTGTTGTTATAAGACAGTGTTTCCCAAACTTATGACTTTTGTGTACCCTTTCTAAATATTTTGTAACGCTGTGTACCATTAATAAAAAAAATGAATGTATTTTTTACTGTAAAAAAAAATGCCCAAAAGTTAAAAATCACAACTGGCTGTTGACACCACTAATTATTAACTGTTAACTCTGCAAAAATAAATAGCCAATAGAAAAATATGTAATCGTTAATTTTCATGTCTAGCTTTGTTTTTAAATATAAGTTTTTGAAATTTTCGTTAGTTGTAAGATATTTCGCATAAGAGCGTGTACCCCCCGTTAAGCTGTTCCCGTACCCCTGGGGGTACGCGTACCACACTTTGGGAAACATTGTTATAAGATAATAACTTTTGTGTTGGCTTGAATACATTAAAAGATTCAAATTGTTGACCAAAGACTAATCTATGGGTGGGCATTTTGAGGCACTTATCCAGAAGTTCGTGTTGTTGACAATAATGAACGCCCACCATAGGCCTTTTCAAAGCTGTCTATTCTTTAACAACCGGTTGATTAATGGTCTCATGGTGAAGTCCATAGTTCCCATGGTTATTCTTACCAACGCTTTTCTCATTTCTCTTTATTGTAAACCAATCTAAACTCGCTAGAAGAATCGCTTGAGCCAACGGCCTGATTTAGAAATCCGGGGACAGTAAATTATGGAATATATTAATAAATTTGAGTTTATATTTACTTCAGATTTAATTAACTCGTAATTCTAAGAGATAAGCTTTAAGGAAAAACAAGCAGAATATTAATAAAATTTACATTATTTAGAGGGACCCCAAATGTTATTCGCGATCGCAACACTCGAATACGCCATCTGGGGAGAGACCGGTTTCATGCCTTTAGCCCTTCTCCCTTCCCTCTCCTCCTTTTTTCAGTTGTATAGGAATGTACTACGATAATTTCCCTTTTCTTAATATTTTTCCTTTTTATTTAATAAAAATATTTTTTAAAATTTCTATGATACTTTTCTTTAGAACTATGTTTAATGTAGTTTTCAGTTCCATATAGTTTTTCAAGTTAAAAGATTTTAATCTATGTGAAAATCAAGAGAGAAACTAACGTACTTCCTTCCTCTATGACTTTCCACACGCTAATGGGGAAAGCATGTGAAGTGTTGCCATAGGAAAAGCGTTCTGCTCTACGCCACCTGCAGCCCATTTCGATCGCCAATTAGATCCGTGCCTTTGACGCCTTATGATAAATTAGGAACTGACACTTATGCGTCAAAGACTACATCGCGACAAACGTGAACGTTATTACATAATCTGGAGCTAACTGAACTACAACTGATACAAAATAAAAGTTTAGATAAATAACATTTTATACAATTTTGAAGAAATTATTATGAAAAAAATCTTAAATTTAACAGCTAAATCTTATAAAAATCTTTTTCCCATTTACAGATTCACAAATTAGTTCAGCTTTTTCTGATGGTGGCTCGCATTGGAATCATAGGACCAGTTAAATCCCAAAATAATAATTTCACTTGAGGAGCGGAGAGGAGAAGGGGTGTAAAAGAATTTTTTTATTATGTACAAAAATTTAAATATACCAAGAACGACCCCACATTCCAACCAGCAATTTTTCCATCATAATTAATTTATATCCCAGCGTAATGCCTACAGTTCAAGAGAAACGAAGGAATCTTTGTTATACTTATTTAAGGCCGGGATAGTCTGGCTTATAGGGTTTTGGGCCCACGTCCGAGAGGTCTTAAGTTCGATCCGCGCCGGCCGAAGACTTCCCGAGTGCAAAAGACTCCTACACCAGTCACCCAAACTCCTACACCAGTGCACCAATCACCGAACGCTGACTGGTGCACGCTAAATCTGTCGGGGTCATAAGGTTCTCCAAGTTCCTATAACAAATCCATACCTTTGGGGGTATTGGATGGGAAATTGATCGTGCTCTGGTTCAGATCGAAATTACCATCTGCAGGAGAATGAATGTGTCTTCCCTGTAAAATGGGATGTGACATAATGTATGTTGTCTCCGAATTATCCTCAGAGATGTTTCTCAGACCGTCGCCAATAGTCCATTGAGCAGCTTTAGTGCGACGTAAATAAAATTACCATACCGTTACCCTTAATTTCTTTTAATCAAAAAAATAATTGCTGAGTTTAATCAGAAATTTGCATTATTCGCTATCGCAAAACTCGAATATGCCAAGAAGATCGGTTTCATGTTTTGGCCCTCCTCCTTTTCCTCTCCTGTCTCCTTTTCTGCTCAGTTGTAGGAAAATGCACATCAAAACTCTCTCCATCAGTAATATTTTTCGCATTTAATTGCCCTAAATATTTTCTGAAATTTTCATGAGGCTTTCTTTTAGTGGAGTTTTGAGTTCCATGTAGTATCTCAACTTAAAAATGTTTTAACATGTTTGAAAATCAAGACAGAAACTAACGGACTTCCTTCACCCATGACTATCCACACGCTAATGGTGAAAGCAAGTGAAGTGTTGCCATAGACAGAGAGTTCTGCTCTGCGTCACCTGTAGCCCATTTCGATCGTCAATATTTTAAACCCCTGACATTGTATGTTGTCCAGTTTGGTAATTGAATCTTTCGGTTTCGTAGTAATGTAAGGCCGAAAGAAAGAATTTAATTTCGTACGCACAATAGGTGAAAATATGAAAATTAATATTTAAAAAAACTTTACTTAAAAATTCAAAGTCAAAAAGCCTTTTCCTGGTATATTTTAATTTTTTTTAACATTTTTAAGAAGAAAAAAAATTATGATCTTTAAACGAAGTATGAGATATTACGAATCCTAAATACAAATTTCTCCTATACCAAATTACTACATAATGATATAGTTCAATAAAAATTCTAATGGCTTTAAATTATTTTTAGTCATAATAATTTAAAATGTGTCATGATAGATCTTCTGGATTGAAACTATGTTCCCTTTTATCACCAGTGTCATATTTTACCACTGAGGCGATTCGACTATTACGCAGGCATGATTTTGCCAATTTTGAACTTTTCCCCCAAGTCAGCAAAAGGAAGAAAATCAGAAAACTCTTCACATTCTTGCGAAAGAAACTCTCAACTACCCCCTAATTGACTTTTACTGTATAGTAATCTAATTTCAGAATTAAACTCAAATAAAAGATGCAACTTATCATAAAATAAAATTTGAAACAATGATATGATTTTATAATTGGTTTCATTTTGTTTTTCAAAAGAAATAGTATTCTGAAGAGGACGTCGTACATGTATAGTAATCTGAATATATATATAGTAATCTGAAGAAGACGTCATGTGTATATAGTAATGTATAGTAAACTGAATGTATGCATAGTAAACTGAATAGGACGTCATGTATGTATAGTGATGTATAGTAATCTGAATATATGTATAATAATCTGAAATGAGCGTCGTGTATATAAATAATGTATAGTAATCTGAACAAATGCATAGTAATCTGAAGAGGACGTCGTTAAAGCATTTTTAATTTATAGGAAAATAGCGTCTGACTATTTCCTGACACTCGAAAGACATTTTGCGATTTTTTTAAAAATTTGCGCAGTGCCATTCCTTTGGAACTGGATTCATATGAAAGAATTGGTATCATATTTATTAAAAATTTCCACTAATATCCATATTTTTGTTTTTAATATTAGGCTAAAATAGGCAACATTTAGAGCATAGATGACGCTTTAATGAAAACAGAATATACTTTATACTAAGGGAGTCGTTGGCGGGGTTGGGGACTGTGGATATATGTCCCTTTCAATAATTAGAATCTCCAAAAAGTTACGATCAATATTTCAGAGAAATAAAGAAAAAATGTATGAATCATCATCGATTTAAATCTATAAAACTTAAAAACGAGAAGGAGATAAAAATTATCTATCTTTTTGAAGAAATATTTAACAGACGTAAGAATTTTTCTTCCTTATATGTGAAATTTAGAGAGCCATTGTGACTGTGTATTTTAATTTCGTCCGTCTCAAAATTTTGACCCTTGCCACGCCCATGCTACGGCTGAAACGATAGTAAAACAAGCACAATTAAGGACACAAAAATGGTTAGGTGGAGGTGGGAGAGTAAGAGATGTTAGGTGTCGGCAGAGTTCGAACCAAGGACCTACGCTGTCGTAGCCAGAAACTCTAACCTCTATCGAAAAAGGTGTATATCCCTGTACAGAAGGAGTTAGGAAAAATAATAAGTGACAGCCGCACAGCACACTTCTTCAATGAACGAGAAATCTGACTCGTTGTCCATCGTGACTCGTGAGCGTTTCACTCTAGGCTGAGCAAAAGTTGAACGGGCTCCAGAACAAAATGGGTTGCATTTCCCTTCCTTAAAGCACAATAACCTGATTTTCATATTTTGTAGAATTTT